CGAGGGAAGACCGAGCCGAGACGAAGGTCGGTACGGCGACAGCCTCCTTATCGCGACCGATAAGAGTCACGTGTGTGTGTCTTATGTGGGGGACGTTTCTGCCACCGCCTAAACCTACCACTTTCCGGCCTGCTTTTTTGGACACTGTTTGTGGTCAAAATCCGAATTTCCCTCGCGAGGTTGCGAGTGTTCTGCCGGGGGAAGCGGTGAGCATAGTGGTGTGGAGTGCAGGCCAAACCTACCACTTTCCAGCTCCAGTTTTTGGGGACTCTTTGTGGTCAAATCCCGAATTTCCCTTGCGAGGTTGCGAGCGTTCTGCCGGCTAAAGCGGTGGATCTGGCGGTGTAGCCAGATTTGCTGGTGCATCTGTAGCAGAATGCCTCAGGCTGCAGTTCCCTAAGATACCATGTCACACCCGCGACTCTAAGACATGCCTGATGCGCCGTACAGTGCCAAGTGCCCACCACCTATACACTCACATACCATCCAGACCTGTATCCGTACTTCCAGTGCTTCCAGCTGCTCTAAGCATCAACTCAACCCCTAAAACCACTGTCCAGCGTCATAATTCCCGCAGACTTTCGTGAAACCCGGTACAATCGGACAACCCGGAAGCCGCGGGAAGGTCACCTCAGCATCGCATGCCTCTCTTATCGTCAAGCTATCGACACAGCCACGTTCCTTCTACAGGGCATGGATTGACACGGCATTGGGCTGTTCCAGAGCCATTGTCCCCCTCCGACGCCGGACTCGCGCAATGTCGATCACGACATTTCCCCGGACCGCGTTACGTACAGAAAACTCCACATGGCTCGCTTCCCCGCAACCCCAGTTGTCAAAGTCATACGACGGAGCGGCCATGACGCGCCGACTTTCCCCAGATCCCATCCCCGATGTAACCTTACGTCGTTGCCCAGGCTGAGGGCCGAGGGCGAGTCGCAGTATGTCCGAACCTGGGGTTGTCGACGTAACTATAGCATCTGCAGAGGTCTAGACTACGCACTTCGGAAATTGCAAACAGAACACATGTCATTCAAATCAAGTCTCCTAACGCCTTTATGCCATGGAATAGTGATATCACGATGCGACCGCGGTCATGCAAACAACGCTCGCTAGATGAAAGCCCTTCGGATAGCAGAAGTCCAGCTGCTAAGACTCAAGACATGATGCATCGCGGGTAGTAAAACATTAAACTATAAGTGGGAGAATGCGATCAACGAGATCCGTCGTCATTGGTATGCATCGCATCGTCAACGAGAAGGTCGTGTCATGTCGTAAGAAAGAGAACACCAAGTCGCATGTTTAGCTGTCGGTATTGGCGCAAGTGAAGCTGTTGCTGTTCGCGTCGTCGTGGATGGCGGTGCCCGAGGCGTAGAGACCCAGGACACACAGGATCAGACCGAACAGAGCAATGCCAATGTTGAGCACGGTGAGGGCAATCTTCTTGGGGCTGGAGAGCCACTGGCCCCAGTTGAGGTGGAGCCAGTAGACACCGCTGAGACCGTAACTGAACCAACTAGCGAAGAGAGCGCTCTGCAAATCGATTAGTGTTGTGCTGGATGATGCTTACGCGAGCAACTTACAATCAAACCGTTCAGGTCACTGAAGACGGGAATAGCCTCGGCAATGATCCAGGCAACGACCCAGCAGGAAAGGCCAAGGCCGATCCAGATGGAAACCGAGCGCCAGCCGCGGCTGTGAATGAGATCGGACTTGTGGCAGGTGCGGAAGTAGATGTACTTCAGACCGATGTGACCGTTGACAACACCAGCACCAACAATCTAACCAGGAATTAGTTCATGTCCGTCTAGGTAGAGAACAGGCGACTTACAGTAGGAATGGCAATGCCATAGGCGATCTTCTTCAAGAGGGGACCGGCGGAGCTCAGGGCGGGAGACTGGACGTCCTTGCCGACGTAGTAGTAGACCACAATGGCCGCGGTGGTGTACAAGCAGATCTCAAAGCCCTGAAGCATGAACAGCGACTTCTTGAAGTCCTTGGGCTTCTCCATCTCAGCAATCAGGCCGAAGAAGGCGACGTGGGCACAGTAGGCGAAGACGATGTTCGAGACGGCGCTGAAGGCCCTGTAAAGAGAAGTGTCGACCGTGGCTTCGATGATACGACCGGGGTGGTCCTGGACGCCGACTCCAATCATGGTGATCATGACGGCGCTGAAGATACTCAGGAAAGCTGGGCCACCAGTCAGCGAATGATCCAGAGCGGAACGATCAGGAATACTCACAGAAGAAAGAGATCCAGGTCATGCCCTTCATGGTACGGGGAACCGACAGAGCCATGGAGATGACCATACCGATCACGCTGAAAACAATCGAGCAAGTACCGTGGTCGGTGATGGTGTTCATCATGACACGGAAGGTCAAAAGATGGCTGCCCATGACGAAAATGCAGAAGAGGAACTGGCCCAGGCCGAACAGCTCACGGCCGAAGGGGCCCAGCAGGATTTCGCCGGCATCAGCCAGGTTCTGGATGTGGGGGTAGCGCTCGCGGAAGAGACCGATGTTGTAGCCGGTGTACGTGGCGAGGATACCGAGGCCGACAATAAGAATAATAGCACTAGATGAGCAATCGGTCAGTGAACGCCCCGTGCGATCGACCTTCGACCAACTTACGGGACGAGACCCAGAGCAGCCACGGCTGCGGGCAGAGAGAGCACACCCAGGGAGACAGACTCGCAAATCATGACTGGAAAAGTGGTTAGTGGGAGCAAGTCAGTCTCATTGACAGGAGCCCTTACGCAAGCCGCATTGCCTGTAGATGACGTTAGCATGAATGAAGAGCGCGGAGTGAGCTGCAGTTGAGACGTACCACCACTTCAAGGTCTTGTACTTGATTTCGGCCAACTCCTCGTTACCGAAGGCGTCAGCCTCCTCGAAGCCAGGCTTGTAGCTGGTTTCAAGGTCGACGGAAGCATCCTTCTTCTCGTCGATGCGGTCGGTAGCGTAGGGTGGAGGGGAACCGTGGACAGTGTCCATTGTGTTGGTGAATGGGTGGTGTGTGGAAGTGTTGGAAGAAGCAGCGACGGAACGGGTAAAGGGTGACTTAAGGTCGGGAGGAAGTGTCCGGGATGCTGCAGACAATGGTGGATGGATGAATAGAGACAGAAACGGAGGAAATCAGCAGGGGAAGGAGAGGGTTATAAAGAAGATTCCGGAAAAACACAGCTGGGGCCAGATGAAGTTCGGTAGAGAAGGGAATGGTTTGACATGCCGAAGACCTGGGGAAAGAAGATGGGGAATTGGCAAGTATGGAACTCGAGCCAGGCACACAGTGGACACACACACGAGCAATCGGCCCGGCGCCGAGACAAGCAATCGCCGCAACTGCAGCAGATCTGGAGGGAAATTTGTGAACGGAATTGGTCACCAAGCCGATCATCGGCCAACGCGGACCAATGAGACGCATTACCGCCTCGGGGGGCGGAGGCGGGTTCCATGGGAGGGAGTTCGGGCGGTGCAATTGCAATTGCGGTGCTACTGCCAGCATGCAAGAACCAGCCGCGGCGGAAATGGCTAGAGCTGCAGTGCACTGCAGTGGAAGCTTTTCTCGCCCGGAGTTGGCCTGCAGGGCCGGCTTTCTGTCTGTCTGTCTGCCTACCACTGGCCAACGCTGGCCAGACTCTCCGTCGATTTGCAGTCCAATCGTTAAGCCCGAACCATCGGCACTGTCGCTTAGTTGCTCCTCTTTCCTCGTGGTTCCCCATCTGGATTCCACCATTGCTCGTCCAACTACGAATAACAATTGCTCATCTGGACTGGTCAGACTGGCTCACATATCTTAAGGTTGTTTTATTTGCCGGTCGGGATTTATTTCTGCCCCGGGGATCCCCGAAATGGTGGACAATGGGCAATATGACATGCAGGTCATGTGATGTGTCCGCCCTTGCATCGTCCACCTTACTTCTCTTCATGTGTTCACTGAGTGAGAGACAACATGCTGCGGACTCCGGTGGACGCCGGACGCACGTCTCACACGGTGCCAATCATTTCCCAGGGTGTCTGCAACGAGGGTGCGCCACCGTCGCCCTGGAATAGGCAATTTGCACGGGCTGCCCCCCGGTGCCAGAGGTGAAGGTGCAAATTGAGTCGGTGGCGCCGCGAGGGCAGGCGGAAGGATTGGCTGGCGGTCTAGCGGCAAAATGCTTATTTTTTGTACGTAATTTGGTGGCCGTTAGCGGCTGATACCACTCCGTAGGGTTGCATTCACCGGTCGCCCCATCAAGACCGCCCGCCAAGCTTCAAGCTTCGAGTCGGGTGGATGTTCCACTGCGGTGCGCTGCTTATCTTGCTGGCAATTCCACCACCAGTGACTGGTTGGGCTGTACGTAAAGCAAAGCCGGAGGCCATTGAGACACTATTTATTCTCTATCTAATCTCTCCCTATCTACAGAGGGCATCCGGGCATCCTGATGCGCAGTGTATCACCGGTGAGTCTCAGACATGCTTGGCAGGCCTCGAAATAAGCATCACGCTACAAGGAGACAAAGTTGCCGATGATGAGGTGGCTCGTCTTAAATCCTGTAGCCAAAAGGCCAGGCCAGCCACTCATGCCCATTGGTCGGGAAGCCCCGGGATTGGGCTTAGACTTTGCACGCGGGCTGTTTGCAGCTCCGGGGCTATGAATAATCCGGCCGATTCTCTCTTGCAGAGAGCACATCCTACGGGCAAGTGTCACGGGCGTAAGGTAGTGCTCCGTGGTATCAACAACATGAGCCTTGGACAATCTTCAAGTTTTTATACTCAGCTGCAAGAGAGACAGTATAAAATTCCATTGGTCACTCGATCACTCGATCCTATGATCAAACATGCCCAAACGTACGAGAATTGTCTTCGAATAGTCCCCAACCGAGATATATATCTACCCACAAAGTCACCACTACACAATAGAGACCACAAACCTAATGCACGAATAATAGTACCACACTATCTGAGTATTCGAACATCCTTTTCGATGCATCCACTTCATACAGTAAATCGGACTATCTCGCCACTCAAACAGCACCGTCAACCCCACCCCAAAAACCAGCGAGCCTTGAACTACTCATACATGACTAGCGCACCCAACCAACCCCGGAACAAGCCAAGCAAAACAAACCCAAGCAAGCACTAGTCCACACCCTGCGTGCAAAATCTAGATCCTGAGTCACCATGATAGCATCCCTGCATCATGGCATGGCCATAGCCTAGCCCTCGACCCCACCTGCAGCCGTGGCAGCCTGAGGCACAGACCGGGGTAAACGTCAGGCAGACAGGCAGACAGGCAGACAATTACCCCGCCAAGCCCAACGCAGCGCGGCAACCGCCACGCCACGGGATCGAGTCGAGTCATAGCTGAGCTGAGCTTCCTCCAAACCAACCCAACCAAACCACCTCCCACCTCCCACCTCACACCTCACAACCACACCACAAACCACACAAACCACAATGAGCACCCCCAAACAAGCAGTCGTCTGCGTCTTGTAAGTCCGCCCATTTTGACCAAACCTCCCTCCCTCCCCCCCACCTGGCACTGACCACCGAATCTCTCCCAATACCAGCTGCGGCTCCCGCTCCGGCACCTCCCCGGCCCACCTCGAAGCCGCGCGGGCCCTGGCGCACCAATTCCACGCCCACAACGTCCAACTAGTCTACGGCGGCGGCACGGTCGGGATCATGGGCGAACTGTCGAAGACGCTGGTGTCGCTGTCGGGCCCGAAAGCCGTGCACGGGATCATCCCGCGGGCGCTGGTCGAGGTCGAAGAGGGATACAAGACTCCCACTCCCACCGCTACCCCCACTCCTACTCCCGGGAATGGGAATGGGGCTGCCTCCGGCGGAGCAGGCAAAGCGCCCGAGCGCGTGGGCGGGGGCGCGGGCGACACGATGGAGGAGACGGAGTACGGGCAGGTGACGGTGGTGGCGGACATGCATACGCGGAAGCGGCTGATGGCGCAGAAGGTGTTGGAGGGGGGGCCGGGGTCCGGGTTCGTGGCGCTGGCGGGCGGGTTCGGGACGATGGAGGAGCTGATGGAGGTGACGACGTGGAATCAGTTGGGGATCCACAAGGCCGGGGTGGTCCTGCTGAATATCAACGGGTACTGGGATGGGGTGCTGCAGTGGGTGCAGGCGGCCGTGCAGCAGGGGTTCGTGAGTCGCGAGAATGCCGGGATCCTGGCCGAGGCGACCCGCGCGGAGGACGTGCTGCGCATGTTGCGCGAGTATCGCGTCAGTAGTGATCGGATGGCGTTGGATTGGGGGCAGGAGTAGATGTCCTTACGAAAAGGGGTACGGCGGGATGCAGTGGGGGTAGAATCGCATTATAGACTAAGGTATATATCATTAAAATGCTAGGCCAATGGAACGGATTTCTATTTCACTTGGCATCAAGGTTGGCGCAACACGAAGCCCGATACAGCCTGAGAAGGGATACAATGCTCAGAGGGAGAGAGATAGATACTCCGTGGGTAGCTGAAGTACGGAGTACTAACTAGTGCCTCAGGTCAAAATCTGCAGCAGGCGGAAATGAGGAGGCTGGACCAACCGGGTTAGTCTGACAGTGACCGTCAGAGTGGCTGTCACTAACCGATCGCCCCCATCGCCCCCATCGACCCCGCAGTCCCTGATCTCAGCTCCCTACGTATTTCGATTTTCTATATCTACATCCACTGGCCCCTTATTCTGCACCACCAAAATGCACCCCCCTCCATCTCCACCCCATTCCACGGACCCCCCCCCCAAGAAAATGGCAACAGCCCAGATCCCCCAGCTGTGGGCCACCGCCCTCGCGCGCTACGAGAAAATCACCCACAGCCCGCTGGACCCCCACGCCTGGCGGGACCTGACCACCGTCGACGGGCTGTGGGGCGCCATCGAGGCCGAAAATCAATCCTTCCAGGAGTTCCGCCGCCAGCGCGCCGGCCTGTGCGCGGCCCTGAGCCAGGCGCTGCGGCCCATCGAGCTGGTCGGCGATCTGGCGGCCAGCGCCGCGGGAATGTTCTTCGCGCCCAGCTCGTTGGTGTTCGGGGCCGTGCGGTACCTGGTCGACGCCGCGAGGGGGGTTTCGGCGAAATATGATGCCATTGTGGAGTTGATGGTGACCTTGCAGGTACCCACGGTCTTCCCATGCTTTGCTTTGCTCCGCTGGTCAGGGGCGTGCTCCTCTGGTTATAGGGCATGCTGAACTGACTTGCCCCGTGCACAGGACTTCACCACCCGTTTAGCAGTCTACGCACAGCAACAGATCTCCCCACCGCTGCAGGAGAAAATCACCGCTATCCTGACCACACTCTTGGAAGTGTTCGCGATCTCGCGCCAGCAGATCCGCCTCGGCCGACTGCGGAGTTTCGGGAAGAACGTGCTGCTTGGCAGCGACGACGGGAAAGCGGCGATCGCCAAGCTGGCGCACCTGGTCGACGGCGAACGGAACCTGGTGGGCGCGGAGACACTCACCGAGGTCAAGGGGGCGAAGGTGGTCATCGACCGCGTCGACGTCCACGTCCTCGAGCTCACGCGGCGCATCGACGACCTCAACCGTCTGCAGGAGCACGCGGCCGCCGAAAAGGAGGCCGACTCCGTCCCCGAAAGGAACCACCCCAACAAGGTCAAGAGCGTGCTGCAGCCCGCCACCAGCGCCGACGACCGGTACAGCATGATTGCGCGGGCGCGGGTCCCGCAGACGGGCGACTGGGTGCGCGACGAGCGCGAGTTCCGCGAGTGGCTGCGCCGCGACAAGCCCCTCCTGTGGGTGACGGGGACGCCCGGCGCGGGCAAGTCGTACCTGGCGGCCAGCATCATCGCCTATTTGCGGGAGTTGTATCCGCAGAACGTCCAGCATCCCTCGCATGTCTCCGTCGCGTATTACTTCTTCAAGGACGACAACGTGAAGACGCGCTCGTGCCACAAAGCTCTGCGCGACGTCGCCTTCAAGATCGCGCAGAATGACCCCGCCTATGCGAACTTCGTCGCGGGTCGGGTGGACTCGCCGGAGGATATCGGAAGTCTGTCGAGTCTGTGGCAGCAGCTGTTCGTGGAGTACTTCATCGCGCACGAGACCGGAGACAGCCAGGCGTACATCGTGCTGGACGCGCTGGACGAGGCGTTTGCGGAGGAGCGACAGGAGCTGTTCCAGCTGGCGGGCGATATTCAGCCGGGGGGCCGGTTGCAGCTGCTTCTGCTGGGGAGGCCGCATATAGCCCAGGAGATGGACGAGCTGATGGAGCAGCTGGCCGTGCCGACGATCTACATCTCAGACGTGAACAACTCGGACGACATCGTCCGGTACATCCAGAGCAGCATCGCCAAGTCGGTGTACCTGCGACGCGCCTCCAAGGCGCTGCAGGCCGAGATCGTGCGGCGGGTATCCAGCGGCGCCCAGGGCATGGTATGTGCACATACTCAACTGATCTTGATACTAGACTAATATAGTGCAGTTCCTCTGGGTCGACTTCATGCTCAAAGAACTACTGAAAAAACGCGACGAGGCACGAATGCGAAAAGCACTCGAAGAGGCGCCGCGCGGGCTGTCCGAGATGATCCGGCACGTCCTGAAGAGCTACTCCGAGAGCCTACGGGATGCACCACAGTACGCCGAAGATCTGAACGAGATGTTGGCATGGATCGTGTGCGCCCACTGGCCGCTGAAGCTGCAGCTGCTGGAAAGCATCGTTCAGTGGCGGTCGCCGGAGGGCGAGGGGTGGATCTGGCTGGAGGGGTATCTCCGGCGAGAGTACGCCTCCCTGTTCTCGCTGATCCGGGAGGATGGACTGAGCACGGCGGATTTACAACGGGCGAACATCGGACGAGCCGATTGGGAGGTCGACACCCTGGTGGATGACGGCTTCGACGACACAGACAACCCGTCGGACTTTGACTCGGACCCGGCGACTACGGAGGTGACCTTGAACCACGCCTCGCTGGGAGACTTCTTCCGCAACGAGGCCGAGGTACCTGTTTCGGCGGACGACGGGCCCCTGGTGGGAATCGACTACCACGCGGCGAAGGTGCTGGTGTTCAAACGGTACTTCGAGATCGTCGCCTGCGAAGAGGGCTCCCCCAAGCAAGAGATCGCGCAGGTGCTCCGCGTGCACGCTGCCGGGTCGATCGTGTCAGCCCTGCAGGACATCGAGATCGACAAATGCAGCCCAGAAGATAAGGGCATGATCGGTCTGAGCATCGCGCGGCTGCTGTCCGTCCCTCCCATCCTCGAAGCGTACGTCAAACACAGAAGCGACCTGTCGTACCCAGGCGAGCACCTCGAACTCTTCATGAAGTGGCTCAGAGACCCAGACGTGCAGGCCTCGCTGCCCCCGACGGAGAAAGCCTGGTTCGAGGAATCCACCGCCTCAGGCGACGTGGGGATCTACCTGCTGACGGCGAAGTTCATCGCCGAGCAATGGCTGCAGAAAGGGTTCTGGCTGGCCGGGCCCTGCTGCCGCTACATCATGGAATACATCAAACTCAGCCAGGACGCACCGCCCTGCCCGGACAGCCCCGTCGAGGCCGTGCTCTCCGCGGCGGAGTGGTGCGGATTCGCGCCGGACCAACTCTGGCACCGCCGACTGGCGATCGCCCTGCGCGATCTCGGGTTCCTCGACGAATGCATCCCCCGCTTCCAGCGCGCCGTGGACCTGGACCCATCCCCGAACCCACAGACCCTCCTGGCGCGAGCCGGTATGGCGAAAGCGTACCTCGAAATGGGGCAGTTCGCGCAAGCCGTCGAGCAGGACCGCGTGTGCGTGGCGGAGCTGAACCCGCACCGCCAAGCGGACCCGGACCAACCCGATCTACAGGCGCACGCGTCGTACGAGCGGCTCGGCCAGAGCTACACTGCGCTCGGCGAGGTCGAGTCCGCCGTGGCCATGTACAGGGCTGGTCTGGCGACGGCCGGATTCTGCAACACGTGTCTGTGCGCGATGCTGGAGCAGCTCCACGCGCAGAGCCGCCACGAGGAGATCATCGCCCTGCTCAAGAGCCTCGACCGGCCCGCCGTCGGCCAAAACCCCGCCTCCTCCACCACCACCACCACCACCACCCCCTCAATCCTCACGCAAAGCATCCTGACAAACCCAGACTGGTACGACGACTTCATCGACCGCGTCACCGCCGCCGCCGCCAGCACCCAACAAATCCCCTTCCTGATCGACGCGTACACCACAGCCGTCGCGACGGCGCACAAGCAACGCAAGGCCGTCGCAAAAGCGAACCTGGAATTCTGCCTGGGGATGCTGTGGCAGACGCACGGGCGCGACGGGGACCGCGCGGCCGCCCTCTGGGAACGACTGATCGCGACGTACCGCGGCAGTCGGGCGGAGGGCGAGATGGTTTCGGTGCTGGAGATGGCGGCGGGGGCGCTGGCGACGCACTACCTGACCAAGGCGATGGAGGTGGGGGTCGCCTCGGAGCAGGGCCGGCGGTACGGGGTGTTACTGGAGCTGTTGGCGCGGGGGAAGGCGGCTGCGTCGCATGGGGAGGGCTGGGATGCGTCGCGTGCGGATGCTCGGGACGTTGTGGATGCGCCGCCCCCGAACAAGGTCTTCGTGACCACGTCGCCCGTGGGACTGATCCTGGGGAGTTATTATCGGCTGTCGGGGCGGGAGGCGGACGCGATGGCGTGCTATAAGGCGCAGGTGCAGGCGGCGCTGCGGCTGGTGGAGGATGAGCGGGCTGGCATGGCGATGGTGGGGTATACGCGGTTGAGCAGTGTGTTTGCGGCGCTGGGGGAGGACGAGGAGGCGTTGGCGATGTGGTATCAGGATCATTTGATGTATGAGCTGATGGAGAGGGATGATGATGAGGACGAAGGTGATGGTGAAGCTGAAGCTGAAGCTGGATCTGATGCTGCTGACGACCCCGAGGACTCGAAAAGACCCACCTTCTTCACGTGCAACGGCTGCAGCACCTCCGTGGAGATCGACGGCAACTATATCTGCCGGTACTGCCACGATGTGCTGTTCTGCCTGGGGTGCATGCAACGACTCGAGACAGGGACGCTGGGAGTGAGGGTGTGCAGTGCGCAGCATGCGTGGGCGTTTGTGGCGCGGCGGCCGGAGGCGGTGCGGCGACGGGGGGAGGAGCAGCGCGGGATGCTGTGGTTGCGGGGGGAGTGGGTGGAGGGGGGGGTGTGGAAGGCGGAGTTGCGGCGGCGGTGGGGGTTGTAAAGAAGCTGTGTATCAGTACAGTAGATTGGTGGTATGCTTGAGATCGATTTGGGCAGGTAGAGCAGCATTAGCCAGTAGACTCAACGTTTATGCTATCAATAGTATCAAGATCCATTAAAACCAAACACAGCCCCAGCAATCCCTTCCACCCACCCTACCTCCAAACATAACATCCTAATGTAAGCCCTACCTCTAGACATAGCATACACCACCAGCACCAACCCCCAGCCGCAGCCCCAGTCCAAATCCCGATCCCCCTCAAACCCCCAAACAAACCCTGTGTACCTCAAAACCAACTCCTCAAGACAGCAACGCCCTGCAACACCGCCCCCAACCCCACAACCACCGCATTCTCCTTAATACCATGCCGGAGATACCACGCCGAGCTAGCCCAGAGCATGGCGTTAGTGATCAGCGCAATCGCCTTGTTAGTCGGGTCACGGAGGGCGAGCGGGTTGCGGGCCCATTGGTAGTGCAGGAGGCCTATCAGTATCCACCATACGTCAGTATTAATATCGGTATCGATATCGGCAATCATGGGGTAAAAGGATCTTAATGCTGTGTTGAGTTGTATTGTGTTGTTGCGCTCGTCATGGTCATGTGGGGGATGGTTTCGTGATAGGGAAGGTGGTGACGAACCCGTTGTGAAGAAGAAGGCGCTTCCCTGTGCAGTGCATATCCGGTTCATTAGCATTGGTTGGTATTGGTTGTGGCATTGGTTGGGGTGGACAATGGCGCTGGTGCTGGGCAACGTACCTGGAACCAGCCGACAATGCCCAGCGCCCAGGGCTTGGAGTTGCTGATGATCGTGTAGGCCGGGTCGGCGGTCCATTGTTTGCCTCCTAGCTTTAGCATGCATTGTTGTTAGTATTTGGATTTGCGGACGGATAGGGTTGCAGAGCATTGCAGAGCAGAGCAATTGGCCATAGCCGACAGTTGTGGTAAGAAGGGAGGTGCAGCGTACCGTATGGCCGATGGACAGGGCGATGAAAGACAGCGCGGAGGCTTGCAGGGTGCGGCTGGGGACGGCTGGAGCGGGGGTGGCCATTTCTGTATGTTTTCTTTTCTCGGGAATCAGGGATTGGATGGAATCTCGGTGTTGAGAGCGATTGATTTGAGCAATAAAGTGATTAATTAGAGAAACAGTGGGTGAGTGTAGGTTACATGAATCTAAGGAGGGCGAGCCGTACGCTGGCTAAGTACGGGCACTTCCTCCTGCGGGGTTCGTGTTTCGTCGACGTCAGAGCATCCGTTCCCGACCCGTACCACCCGGCTGTGGATAATGTCATTAGCTGTAAGTAAACAGCCCGGAACGGTTAGGCCGTCCGTTTTGTCGCCGATGCCGTTCCTGTCGGTCGCCGAGGGTTCTTCTACTCTGGGTATAAGATGGTATTCTCTGATAGTAATTAAGGGAACTTCACCTAGGCTAGCTCTGTAATATATAGGTGTTCTTGGATCGATCGACAAGATACAGTCATGTTTGATTGTGTAAAGATAGCGCTGGATTGAGACATGTCACGTGAGGAGCGCCGCGAACCACATCCGGGTCAACGAGGTCCGTGTTCGGCGACTTTCGTCCAATTAACTTACACCTGGTCTGCCACCCACTGTATAGTTACAGTGAGACCACATTTCTTGACTATCTGGGTATGACTACATCAGGGTTGAATTGTACCAGGAAGCTGAAAGAAAGGGGGGTCCGGGGGTTCTCCCCCGGGAAGTCTTACCTGAGGGTACATATTAGGGTTGAGTGGTACCAGGAAGCTGAAAGAAAAGGGGGGTCCGGGGGTTCCCCCCCGGGAAGTCTCATTCTAGGTAAATTGACATGGAGTGTCCAGCCAGTGACGGCGCGGTAAACGGGCAAGACTCCAGCATTAGCGTGCGGATTGTGTACGCTTTACATATTTTCATAAATCCCGAAACATCCCGAAAAGGTCCATCCTAGGCCCTGTCAACCAAGGACAAGGTGATCAGACATACTACCCAAAGTCGAACCAGTAGTCTAGACAACCAGCTCCAATCCGTGATACATCCATCGCCAAGGACGTTACATCAGCCTCATCGTCTCCTAAAGCCACTCAAGGCTGGTGGTTAAGAGGCCGGAAAGCGCAGGCAACAGGAACGGAAAAGGAAGACTCAATGCCGGTCAAGATCGGTCGAGCACGTCGGCGTGGAACGGGCCCCGAGACATGCTGAAACGCAGGATCGGCCCCGTGCTCCAGCAGCAGCTGGACCAGTGCCTCGTCCTTCTGGCGCGCCGCGACCGTCAAGGCCGTCAACCCGTGCTGATTGCGCTGGTTGACGTCCAGCCCCGGCCAAGCCAGCATGCGCGCAACGGTCCCGTAATGCTTCGACATCACCGCCGCATGAAGGCAGGAGAGCGTGCCTTGTGGGTCGTCTGGTGCTCGCCGGTGTACCTCTTGGAAATCCACGCCCGCGTCGAGTAAGAGGGCAACCACCTCCTCTCTTCCGTCCAGAGTCGCATTCCAGAGGGCAGTCGCATGCGATAGGCGGGCATTGGGCCAATACCTCGCCTCCGCATCCAGGAGAAGCTTGACCACGGAGGCGTGAGCGTCCGATGCTGCCCATACTAGAGGCATCCAGTTCCCTGTTGGGCGTGGCAGCTCCGACTTCTTATCGAGCGCGGCGAGCAGCGCCCTCAGAATGGCCTCCCTATCTCGATCCGCAGCGCATGACAGCGGGGAAAGTCCGGACTCGATGCAATCGAGATCGCCGAGGTCCCGGTCCGCTCCCCGCTCCAGCAGCAGCTGGACGACGTCCAGATGTCCGCCTTGCACAGCACAGCAGAGCGACCACCGTCGCAGCATGCGCGGCCGCTGCGGTCTCCGGACGTCGTAGACCGGATGTGGGGATGCCCCGCGATCCAGAAGCGCCTTCACAATGGGAGTAAACCCATTCTCGGCCGCTTGCGCTAGCGCCGTCTTGTTCAGTGAGCCTTGATCCTCTAGGTCCGCCCCGTATTGAAGCAGAAGGTCGAGGATTGTTTCATACGCCGAGCCCGCGCACCATGGCAGACCGGGCGGTACATCCGGGCCGTCAGCGGGGTCCCGCAATCCTTTAGGGCCGCCGAATCGAACCGCGATAAGACGCTTGCCCTTCATCTTTTTGCGCCGGCGCAGCCTTTTCTCCGACCCCTGTGGCTGAGGCGGGCCAGCCTGACTGGACTGACTGTTTTCGCATGGCCATTGGCTCGCATCTAATTTCCCGTTCAGCTTGAGCGGGACCGCCTGCCAGCATTGAGAAGGCCGTGCGGCGCGCATCAACGGGACCGTCTCGCCTAGAAGTTTATTTGTTGAGCCCGGAGGCGCCCCATGGCGGAGCAGCAGCTCGACCATCGCGACATGGCCATTTTCCACGGCAAGTGCCAGACTCGAGGATTGATCCCGGCCGCGAACAGTTGCGCCGAGCCCCAATAGAGTCTCAGCAATGTGAACATGGCCAAAAACAGCAGCCCAATCTAGGGCCGTGAGCCCGAATTGCGGATCTCTTCCATCTAGATCGAGTGAGAGGTTGAAACGACTGGCAGCGGCGATGACATGGTCAATGGATTTGGGTTGGTTGGTTTGCGCAGCATAAACGAGGGCGATGTGGCCATGGCCCTCTTTAGATTCTCTCTCTAGCCATCTTCTGCGCAATGTTCTGAGAAAATCATATTCTTCTGGCTGTCGGCATTTCGCGGCGTGTGCGCGGCGGTTGCTCTTGCTGCCGGGGAGGAGGAGCTGGCGGTAGAGGTGCGGGTTTAGGATGGCGTGGAATTGGCGACAGGTGCGGACTAGGGCGTTGATGTCGCATTGCCTGAGGCTGGGGATGATGAGGAGGAGAAGCTCAGGAGGAAGGATGGCAAGGGACATGGAGATAAGATGAGAGAGATGAGCTGAGCTGGTTGAGTGTAGGGGGGATAGGGATGGGGGAAATGCGGAGAAATGGAGGAGAATGAATGGGCCGATTGGTGGTGGAGGGACGGTGGGTGAGTCGGTTGACAGCGGTCGGGACGGGCCCATGTTGTGCCGTGGTCCGAGCTTTATGCTGCTGACTAAGTAACCCACTAGTTAATGCACAGTCTATGCGCACTTTCATCTTGTCTCTCTGGCAGATTTTACTTGTGACTCATCTGCAACCTCTCAAAAACGATTTCATTTGAGGATTTACGAGTTGATTGACTCGATCCAATACGCATATCCCACCTATTCGGTATATCTGACAGAACAAGTGCAACAATTGTCCCATGCTTGCAGTATATCCTGGGATCCAACGATAAAATCTATATACAAACCACAACCAGGCCACCTACTCCTCCACCCCCTTCCGCCCCGCCAACCCCACCACCCTCTCGCAGCGAAACCCTTCAAACTTCCTGGCCGCGACCCTCTCGCCAAACAACTCATCCAACTCCTCAAACGACCGCCCCTTGGTCTCAGGCAACTCGAAGAACAGCACCACAAACATGACCGCCCCCATCCCGGCGAAGATCCACCCGATCAGACCCCCCAAATCCGCCTCATCAGAGTTATACAGATACGGCATGACGACATTCCAGACGGTCGAGAAGAAATAATTGAAGGTGAAGCCGACGGCCAGCGACTTGGCGCGCAGACGCACGGCCGAGACCTCGCCGGCGATGGCCATGGCGGGGCCGATGCCGGGCCCGTACACCCACCACGACAGCTGCAGGAAGATGCCCACCACCCTACGCCCACCACCACCACCACCACAGATCAGCCACCACACATTCTATAAAAAGCACCAGGGAGAGAAACATACCACAGCGCCGCACTACTGTGCGGAAAACAGCCCGCCACGCCCATGGCCGTGAACAAGCCCGTCGACAGCCCCATCCCGAACAGCACCAGCGGCCGCCGCCCGAACACCGTCATCGCCCACCCGGTCACCAGCGAGCTCGCAATCCCAAACGCGATCCCGATCTCCGTCATCATCCCGATCTTGCCCGCCGACATGCCCGCCTGCACCAGGAAGTACGGCCCGTTGGTCATGAAGCTCGACCCGATCACCTGCGGCAGCGCGTTGCAGTACAGGATGATGCGCGTGCGCCGCCAGTTCGGGCCGCGGAAGCACTCCGCAAAGCTGACGCCTTCGGCCTGCGCGGCGTGCAGGCGTTCCTCCTCCGTCGTGCGGATGATCTCGTCTAACACCGAGGGGACGAGGGCAGGAGGGGTTCCGAGGCGGGTCAGGGCGCGGGCGGCGTGCGAGGGTCTGTTGTTCGCCACGAGGAAGTAGGGCGATTCTGGGATGAGAATTAAGAAGAGGAAGAGGAGGCCCGGCCAGACCCAGCCGCAGGCGAAGAGGACCTGTTGTTTAGGTTAGTGGGGGGATTTTGGGGACGTAGAGGGAGAGGGACAGACTTTGTAGGCTGCGTCGGTGGTCATGGTCAACCGGGGCAGGGCCACGGATGCGGCGATCATGTAGCCCAGGTTCTGGACTGGTTAGTGACTGGATTTCTCGGAAGGAGTCAGGTGAGGTACCATGCAGAAGGTATAGGCCGATAGAGCGATACCACGCAAGGGAAGCGGGGTGATCTCAGAGACGTAGGTTTGTCCCGTCGTCAACGCGATCCCCAGCGCCAGACCGTTGATGATCTTGCCAGCGAGAAAGACGCCAGGCGTGTTGGCGGTGTACACTACGGCGAACCCCGCAGCCGACAAACAGGCAGCGACCAGGAATGCAACCCGTCGACCCAGCCGGTCGGAGATGAATCCGCCAACGGTGGATCCGATCATGGTGGCTACCTGCGAGAGCGCATTCCACAGAGATTGCCAGTAGGCGGGAATGGTGTATGTGCCATTGACCAAAGATCCGAACTTGTGTCTATTCGATTGTCAACTCCATACTTCACATCAGGAGCAATGTGACTCACTCAAAGGCCGGCATAGACAACGACAGCGACAAAATCAGATTGTCAAACCCATACATCAGAGCCCCAACATTGGCATACAGACAGAACAAGACAATCAACGGGTTCTGGCGTAGGGCCGTCCATGTTGACGGCGGGCTGTCATTGTGGGTGAGCTGTTGGTCGTGGTCTTGGGCTTCGTTCGCATCGACATTCTCGAGGTGATTGGTTTCGGTCTTCTGGTCGGTGGTCATTGTGTGATGGATGTATTAGACGACCGCAGAAGGCAATGCAAGTGTGGGCTGACAAGATCGCGAACGTTGGGCAAGGGATAGTTCGCATTATAGCAGAACCAGCAGGGGATAAGGCAGGGTTGGATACCCCACGGGGTACCGGAATTGCCGACGCCCGGACCATGTGGGGATGGCCATGCAGCCACGTAATCCTGGTCGGCAAACCCGGGGTACGGCTGGCCTCACAGCGAAGAGTCATGATCTTGATACAAAGAGGAACCTGCATATACACCCAAGTGATTAAGGGTGTTGTGCTAGAGATTCCTGAATCCTAAACCTTAATTACTCCTCCTCAGTGGCACTCCTCTGTTCTGCCGGCTTGGATTTGCCAATCGCTTGTCGATAAGTAGGCATTCTCAGCAGCAGCCGTCCGCCGCTCCACCCAAGCGAGCTCTTTCTCCGCACGGTCCGTCCATGTGGGCACTTTAGTCTAATCGCCCCTCGGCCCAATCCCATCACCGAGGATATCTTCTCAGAAGAACAGAGCACACATATCAATCGTACATGACACACCAACTGCCGGAATCCTGACAGCACTGCAACTGACAAACCTTCACCACCAACCCACAATAGCATTCCTACAAGAGTAATCAAATTGGACAGCTGTATCAACACCCCTCGGACCTCACTACACCGGAAAGCGAGCATGCAACGCCACCGCTCCTTCAGACCGAGCGTGATCGTCCATTTCGGACCTACAAGGATGAGGTAAGCGCAGTTCAATTTCTCCGCGCTCGGTTTATCCGAGCATGCCAGATGGGTTTTACTTGATGGATTGGATTGAGTTCAGCGGCCGAAAGCTTGGACGGTTGCACGCATTGATTGGGTGTAGCAACTGTAGTTGATTTATGCCGGTCGTATGCTTGTCCACGTGCATAATGCAGTTTAATTAACATAGACTGACTGATTGCCGGGGTATATTAGAGCAACAATAGGTTTTGGGTTGCGCTCAATTCCTGAGCAGCAGTTAGGGACCGAGTCATAGGCAGTTTGTTGGATGGTCGTACTCGGTAGGAAGCATGGTGCGACTATTGGCTAGGTCAGCAAAGGGATCTTACCACCGTAAAACACTCAACAACCCCCCCCCCTCTCCCTTGTTATGGTTTGGGGAACACAGCCCAACGCCTTAAAATGGATCTTCAATACGTACCACAACTTCAGCCCTGTTAGTTCGCTAAGCGCCCGGCATGAAGGCTAAGCGCCGGGAACCGCCACGTCAGATTGCAAGAGGCTGTGTATAAACATAGACTTCCTCAGCCTTGCTGCTCCTGACTATTAAAAGTATGTAATGGTACCAATCTCTCTTTGAAAGAAGAGCATCAGATCGGACCGTAATTCGGGGTTACCATGAGCTCGGAACATGTCTCCCTCCGCCATGAGGACTACACGATCGCCTGCATCTGCCCCATGGGCGTAGACCGGGCACTTATCGAAGCCATGCTCGACGATATCCACTGCAGTCTACCCATGCCACACCACATCGGCAATCACATATTGGGCCGCATGGACCAGCATAAAGTGGCCATCTCCCACCTCTCCAAAGCGGGAAACAACAGCGCAGCGTCAGGCGCCGTGCAACTCCTTAACGACTTCCCACGGCTTCAATTCATCATTCTGACAGGGATCGGAAGCGGAATCCCCGATCTGGCCAGACACGTAGACATCCGACTGGGCGACGTGGTCGTCAGCAAGCCCACAGGAGTGTTGTCGGGAGTGGTCCAGTTCGACCGGGGCAAGATCCTCGCCGGGGACCGCTTTGAGCGGACTGGGGCGTTGCATCTGCCCCCGAACGGGTTGCTGGCCACCGTGGCAAGGCTGGAGGCACGGCACCGGCGCGTGAAGAGCGAGATGCCGCGGTACCTTGAGGGGATGCTGCGTAAGGTCCCTGAGGAGCATCGAGCGAAGTACTTCTTTCCGCGAGCGGACGATGATCGTCTTTTCAGGACTGAGGCGAGCCATGCACTTGGAGGCGGATGCGGAGGCTGCGATCCAGCGGGAATCGTGGTCCGAAGCAGCCGCGAAGATACCAGCCCAGTGGTGCATTACGGGACGATCGGGTCAGCGGATGTTGCGATCGAGGATGGTCAATTGAGGGATCAGTTGCGGGATGAGCTGGGAATACTGGGCGTCAATATCGAGGCTGCCGGGGTGGCGGCCACGGTTTCCTGTCTTGTGATCCACGGGGTGTGTGATTATGCGGACTCGCACAAGAACAAACGGTGGCAGCCCTATGCGGCTGCCACGGCAGCTGCGTATATGAAGGAGTTGGTGTCTGTGATTCCGGTCTCTGAGACAAAGTCGGTGGAGACGGAGGATGCTAGGGTTGATGGGAGTCGGGAATCAAGCGATCTTGCAAATGGGATTGTGGCAGGGCCCGGGCCGTTGTTCCTGGCGTGCCTCATCGGCATGTTGGGTGTATCGCTCGCGCTCAATGGATATCTTCTTTCATGTTTGAGATGAGGTTCGCTGCGCGTTGGAGAAGTAAACGAGGGCTGGTAGCTCGGTATATATCGCAGAGCACGTGATCCAAATAGTGTGGTTTTAGTGACGAGATATGGACGATACAACTTGGAGTCGGTCGAGGACAGTCAGGAAGGCTTGAGTCAATGATTAAGTTGTCAAATCTTTGCTTGAGCAAAGCTGCTGAGCAATATGAGTGGGCAACACGTTTGGTGGATGGGACACGTCACGTGGCGTATGCCCGTCAACTTCTCTGCTCACCTATAGCCACTGATACAATCACCATACCCGAGATGCCTTTACTAACGATGGTAGTATGTGCGCCAGGATTGCTACGGCTGGAATGCATGAGGGTGCGGCTTAGAACAGCCATCCGCTGCATTTATGTATTTCGTTATGGTCATAAGTCTTAGTGATGGTTCTATCAAATGTTGGTTGTGCATCAGTAAATATTCAAGAGTGTTGTCCCAACCTTCCAGTTGATCCTCTTGTCCAGTACAGTCGCTTTTCTCCGTCCCCAGACCGGAGATGCACGTTCACGTGATATGCATTGTCCTTCAACCACGGTCGCGGCAGGACATCCATCACTGCTGGCATAATGATCATCTGGCTGAGAAACGGTAGGAGCAAATGCCCCTAACCACTGAGCTGGCTACTGCACGTGAGACCCACTCGTACCTGCTATGCCCCTCCACGTTTCTCATTTCTGGCCAGAATAGATGACGAGCAACCACTCGAGCCATCGGCGCTTGAACCCGACCAGTCTGCCAGCTTCCGCAAGACCTCACCCGCAGGTAGTGTGTAAAAGGTGCACGACATTCAGCAGTCTTCAGCAGTAGTGAGGGCCGTTTCAGCACCACCAAACATACTGCAACCTTGCCCTTCAAATCGATTCATCATTTAACGAAGGCTCTGTCCTAGGGGCCTCTGCCCTTGCCGGACGGACCTTTGGCACCGAAAAAGGTATGCTGTGGTCGCACGGGTTTCACCCGGGGCTTGACTTCCACCTTTTCCTGTGGCGCTTTCGGATTTCTCCCTGGTTTGTGACTTGCGCCCGGCTTGAAGAATAGGTATTGAGACACCGGGCCGCGGGGTTTGGGTTGCTGTTTCACCGCCTCGGCCATCTTTCCTTTCGGCGTGTTTAACATCTTTCCTGATTTGGAGAACCCACGGGCCGTGAAGAACGTGTTTGAAAGTTGTTTGGCCTTAGGTTGCGGGCTGGTCGTGTCATCCAGCTCCTCCGGCGTGGCGAGGTCATCCTTTGGCCCTGGCTTGTTCTCAGAGAGCCGGAGAGGGCGGAATTTAGGCCAAGGATTTCGGGGCTGTGATTGCCGTGAGGTGGAAGATATCGCTTTGGCTGACTGCTCGGTCATCTCCAGGGTTGTTCTGGGATCTGGCTTTGAGATCGTCTCTGGAATGGCGTTTAGGTTTGCTTCTAAGGTGGTCTCTGGGATGACCTCTGGAGAAATCTCGGAAGGAGCATCAGTGGCCACGTCAGCCGACTCATTGATCGCCTCCTGTCTCGTCTCGACACCGGCAGGATCCCAGTTCGCTGGTATCTGGTCTCTCGCAGCATGCACAGGGATCTCTGACACTTTCACCCACTCTCGTGGCTCATATGTTCTCAGGGGTGGAGCCATTGGCGTCCCCAATCCCTTCCAGTCCTCGGCAAGCTGCGCTACCAACTCTAACTCCTTCGCAGACACATGCACATTTGACTTCTCCTCAGGGCTTCGTACAAGAACCTGCGCGAGCTCCGGTAAGACGGGCTCCTTGGAAAGTGAAAATCGTACCAAATACCGAGCTAACTCATCAATTTGGGCCATTTCGACATGCGAGAGTTGACGTATGTCGTGGGGTCCGGGAACGGTGTTGAACAAATACTCGTTGATTAGTGGAGGGTAAAACGGTATATGGTACCGATGTTCCGTCCTCAGATGTCTTTGGAGATACGGATGCAGTTGTGGATTCGCGTATGCCAAATACCACGCGACTTGGTGTAAGAGTTGCGTCGTCAGCGTCCCGATGTAGCCCTCACCCTTCGGGATCTGTTTCTTTTGAGAAAGTGCAGTGACCTTCTGTTCTAGAAGGAAAGCCTGGGCCTTTGCTGCATCGACACTTCGTAGAAAATCAGCAGGGAGCCACCGTGGATCGACCTCCCAGTCCTCGGTCCGGTCTGGGTTGTGTTCTCGCTCCAGTGGTGGCAACGCTTCATCGGGAAGGCTGGGGATGGTTGAAAAGTCCGCCTGCCAGTCCAACTCGTGGATCAAGGTGGGGAGCCGAGACGTGGATATCAAGTCGAAATTTTGTATTGTAGGACGCCTGGGACCCCCTGTTATTGTGACATAACCATGTTTGGCACCAAGTGAAAGTCGGATGGCAATGCCCCCGCTGGCTTCCCAGGCCTCCTGGTCCCAGTCAAAATATGATACGGCGGAAGGCTGACTCTCATGCGCCATGATAGACTGCTGAGTGGTCGTGTCGGTGGACGCAGATTCATGGGCCTTCAAATCATGATCGATGACCCCGAAAGCAGGGGTGGTAGACACGGGGTCAGACGTCAAGTCAACATCCTGCCCAGTGCTCTCTTGGCCTTCCGCCGCAGGCGCCCGGAGTCCATCAGATTCTGTCAGGCCAGAGCTTTGACCCGCTCCATCATGG